AAAAAAAAAACTTTGAGGAATGATTGTTTTATGTGAATGTGCCTGTTGATGGATATGATCAGGGCTATTTTGGGGCAGGAACGCACAGGAACGGAGTTCCGGCTGGCTTCAGAGTTGGCCATGCCCACTACAGCCAAAGCCTCTGTGCACGTGGCTACAGAGGGAAGGCCTGGAGAGCGACCCCCCCCCCGGCGACTCCTAGGTGGGCAGGCCGGGGGGGGGCTGGAAGGACTGGGGAGGCATTTAAATACCTCCCCATGCCTTCCCTGGCCTGTCCAAGGGCGGCTTGTCTGGGCTCCCTGCGGCTGCCGGGCACCCAGGCAAGCCAAGGAAAGGCATGGGGGTGTGGACTAATAGGCTAATGAGCTGTACATTCAGGGTGTGGCCTAATATGCTAATGAGTTTCTGCTGTTGGGTGTGGCCTATTATGCTAATGAGTTCCTGTTGGGCTTTTTCTGCAAAAAAAGCCATGGATATGATCCTTGGCAGATACCTAGTTCTCATTGAACAGGTTTCCTTCAAAATTTGGTGTTATTGCAGGGGTGTGTGTGTGTGTCCATACAGAACCCTGTTCAAAGTAGACCCAGTTTTGCTGCTTGGAATATCAAATACGTCTGCATAAACCTGAATTTTTAAAAACTTAGACAGGAAATGATTTCCTCCTTACTTAGTAAGGACTCTGCTTCTTCAGCTACTGAGACTTCTTGGCTACTGAGCAATATAAATGGATGGGAAACATACAGGGTCTCTAGTTTTTTGGCTGCCATTGTAGATTTACCGAAACAGACTAAAACAACTGCATAAACTGCAAAACCCTATCCTATTTTGTTGGTGAGATCCCGTTACATCGGTGGCTTTCCGTTAGTTGCTTAAAGATAAAGTTTCAGTAGCTGTTCAAAACCACTAGGTTGAATGAACAGTAACAGAAAAGAAATAAGAAGAGGATTTTTTTTTTAAAAAAAAACACATTAGAAAGGGTTGCCAACCTCCAGGTGGGACCTGGACATTTTTTAGTGTTAAAACTTATTCCCAGATGACAGCGATCAGTTCCCCTGGAGAAAATGGTTGCTTTGGAGGGTAGACTCTATGCTGAGCTCCCTTTCCAAACTCTGCCTTCCCCAGGTTCTACCTCCCAAATCTACAGGAATTTCCCAACCTGGAGCTGGCAACCCTAACTGTAGGGTTAACCTCCCTCCCAAATCGTAGATACAATGCCTGTTTCTTTAAGAAAGATTGCCACCAGAATCTCATGGTCACCGTGAGGTCACTGGGCAACCCCCAACCAACACTGCAGAGGATTAATGTGGGGGTGGGGGTGGAGGGCTTGAGAGAGGTTGTGCTGTCCTCCTTATTAGGGAGGACTGGTTTTACTTTAAAAGTTCTCTTTTTATTCTGTTTATCTGGGTATATACGGCTGCCACCAGGAAATTTTAAGGATTTCCAAACCTTTATGCTTTTACTTATGCTCTTACTGGGTTGGTAGACCGAGGTCAAGGCTCACGAGGAACTATGTGGTCCTGGGAAGTACTTCTTTCAGAGCTGGTATACTTGAATGAAAGAGGATTTATTGAAATAAAGCATAAATAAGAGGGTAGTACAATGTAACTAGTATTGTGTAAATACTGAACAATTTCTTTGGTATCCCACACAAACTTCTCTCTCACTGACAGGGACCTTTGCATGTAACTTTGTAACACATGTTTATCTCAAGGCCATATATGTTTACTGTTTCACTCTATCCTGTCACTCAGACTTTCCTTTAACTCTTGCTCTCTTAAACTTTACTGTTTCCTAGACACTCAGCTTCAGCTTATAACTGTTTCAACACAGAACTGCTTGTCTCTTCTTTCACACACAGAACAAACTTATTCCACACTGGACCGCTTCTCCCTCCTTTCACACACAGAACCAACTGAACTTATCAACTGTCAAACCTGTAACTGTAAAACCTGACTGACATACATACTCATCCACTCATTTTCACTTCCAAACCCCCCCTCTCTGTCAACCACCAATCATACCACACTTGCCTCTCTCAACCACTCTAGTCTATCTACCACAGCCATACAACCAAACTTTTAAAGAGACACACACACACAAAAACAAGGAATCGTTACAGAGGTAATCAATCAATCATTTATTACCATCAAAAACCAGCAGAATAAAGCATACATTAACAGAGTGGCTGGTGAGAGACAGGCTGAAAAGGTAAAAGATAGAAAGAAGGGAAGGCAACGATGGATGGGGAAGAAAAAGGGTTTAAATAGAAAGCTGGGAAAGGGAAACAGGAAGAGATACGTGGGTGGGTAAGTGAGTGGGAGAGAGGTGCTTCCAAGGGGAGAAACAGAAAAAGCTGTAGAATAGAGGGTTTGGGGTTGGAGTATTGGTTTATCCCAGACCAAGATGAGGCCTCTCCGCATGTTATCTTATGAGTTTTATTTTGTGTACACAGACTGGTCCAAAGAGAGGTCTGTCTCCAGGACTGATTCCTCAGGGATAGCTGTGTCAGGGGCAGTCAAAATAACTTCTACCAAAATGAAACAGAATTGCAGTGGCCCTTCCAAGACTGGTCAGGTTTAGTCCAGTATGGGGTTTTGTAAGTCAGACCTCCCTTCCTCCCTTCTCTTTAATTCTGCTGCAACGAACTAAGCCGCCCCTCTGGAAGGCGAGGTAAGATTCATTATTATTGTAGGTGAGCTATAATGAATTTCCTGCTGCTTAGTACCCCTTGTGGCCATACAAGTCACTAAGAAATATTGGCCCTGAAATTTCCAAGCCTCACTATTTAAACTTCTCTACCTTTTGCTGTTGTTGTTATGTTGAGCCAGTTTGGTGTAGGAGCACGGACTCTAATCTGGGAGACCCGGGTTTGATTCCCCACTCTTCTACATGCAGCTGCTTGTGTGAACTTGGGTCAGTTACAAGTTCTTTCAGAGCTGTTCTCTCATGAGCAGTTCTCTCAGAGCTCTCTCAGCCCCACCTACCCCACAGGGTGTCTGTTGCGGGGAGGGGAAGGGAAAGGAGTTTGTAAGCTGCTCTGAGACACCTTTGGGTAGTGAAGGGTGGGGTATAAATCCAATTTCTTCTTCTTCTATTCCTGGAAGTGACATCACACCGTTGCTGACATCCAATGACTCTGCCCCTCCATCTCACACTAGTTGCCAGGCACAGTCATTATGTGTGATGACCACTAGAGAGCAGTACAGACAATCAAAATTCAAGCTGAAGGAGTAGGAGGAAAAGGCAGAGGGGCTGACGGAAGAAGAGAGGAGATTATAACTAGGTGTATAGCAACAGCACGGTGACCTGGAGCACCCAGGCTAGCCCGATTTCATCAGTTCTTGCAAGCTATGCTGGTTAGTACTTGGATGGGATACTACTAAGGAAGTCCAGGGTCGCCATGCAGAGGCAGGCAATGGCAAAACACATCTAAACATCTCTTCCCTTGAAAAGCCTACAAGGTTGCCACAAGCTGGCTGCGACTTGATGGATTTCCCCACCACTGTAGCAGCAGTTAATTCTTGATGAGATATAGAGAATACATGAACGGGGGAGAGGGACATTAAGTCCTGATAGTGGCTATTTGTGATCTATACTAGATCACGCAAGCTGACACCACTTCCCTAGATCCTTTCTCTGCTCAGAGATCTAAATCATTTTGTGGAAGTGTACCGGCAGCGACCTACTATTGCAGGCCACTTCAATACGTCTGCATTCGGTCCTGCCCCGGTAGTTGCAGGGGGGCCTCTGGCCACGTCCCCCAATGACTTCACAGTTGGTGAGATGAAAGGCAGCATGGCTGTCGTAAAGATTGCGACCGACATGGGTCCCTCCATTTGTGCAGATGGCGTCTACAACATTTGCGGGTTCATGGATGAAAGAGTTGAATTCCTTGCAGATGGGGTTGGTCATATTTCGACGCTGCATCATTTGGTTGCAATAGAGCCGGGCAGCCAGGTGGGGACTGGTCTTTGGGTAGTCCATATGTTTCCTCTGGAAGTTCTGGTAAGTCTGGGGGGAGGCCGGCAAGGGCCCCAGCAAGATCAACAGGATGAGCAGCATTGGACAGGCTGACCTTGGAGCCACGGTGTCGACTTAGGGGAGGGAGGGAGGGATAAAAAAAGCCGATGATTAATCATTTTGCCTGCAAATACGTATGTGTAACATAACTTATAAGGGACTGCGGTGGCTCAAGTGGTTAAGATGCTGATCTGCAGACGGAAGGTCGGAGCCTAGAAACATAAAATGGCTGGGCATTGCAAGCTTCTCCCCTCCCCCCAGGTCTACTCAGAATGGCAGTTACTCTCCAGTGTAATGTCCCCCTTTGGCTGTGGGTTCCCAGGTTACTGTACTCACTAAGGCACCCATTCTCAGGTTCATTCAGCAGAGACAAGCTGGCTCAAAACATCAACCCTGTATTTGCAAGGAGACAACTCCCTCAACCAACAGCTTCAACTAAACAAACACTGGAAAGTGAAACTTCTTGAGCTCCACTCCATTGGAATACATTGCAGCACAGACAAAGTTGCAAAGAAAATGAGCTCCCGTCTCTGGTCCCAGCTCCTGCCAACCTAGCAGTTCGAAAGCAAGAAATTGCAAGTAGATGAATAGGTACCACTTTAGTGGGAAGGGAACAGCGTTCCGTGCGCCTTGGCGTCTAGTCAGGCCGGCCACATGACGACAGACAGCGCTGGCTCTTCGTCTTAGACATGGAGATGAGCACTGCACCCCCAGAGTCAGATTCGACTGGCTTTCGAGCACGGGAAACCTTTACCTTTACCTTAACATATCTTAAAACCTGGTGTTCACTACTGCCTGAGCCACACACACACTTCCCAAGTCAGTTGGCTCTGCTGCTGAGATTCATGAACATCTTGTTGGTTGGGAAGGAAGTATTGATCACAGCAGGGATGTAGCCAGGATTCTTGACTTTGGAGGGCATTTAAATAAGTCGGAGGGGCACTCCTGCACACACTGCTGGCGGGCAAGGCAGGGCAACAGGTTGGCTCAGTGCAAAAAATAAAATGAATTGGGTGGATGGGAAGCGGGGGGGGGTGGCAAGTTGGGGGGGGGGTGTCCCAAGATGCCCCACTGTAGCTATGGGCCAGGATCACAGGATACTGACAAGAGTGCAACTCCTGAGAGGGAACCAAATGGTCCCTTCAGCTGAGCAGAAATACAGCACTGTAATCCATGTGTAGAAAGGGATGCCCAAAGGTACGGTAGAATATCCTGCTGGGTGACTCACAGCTTGGAAGCCAAGGCAATAGAGGATGAAGAAGGAAGGGGAGCTAAGAAAGACAATGTTTTATAATCAGTGGTATTCCATTCATCTCATTTTGGGGCAATACTGGCCACTGTCTTCCCTGCCCTTTCTCTGTTGCATCCACCACCTTGGTTAAAATCCAGGGCCCCCCCTCTCTTGTGGGTTGCCCAAGGCCAGTTCCAGAGACGTGTATCACTGTAGCATGCCAACAGCTAAGGCAGGTGGGTAAGGACATTTGCAGGATCTCTCAAGTTAAATAACTCTATTTCTGCAAGGCACAAACTCAGGGTACTATAAGGACAGAATCCAGGCGCACTGAGCAAAATGAACAAAAAGACAGTGTGATGGAGTGAGCTCCCGTCTCTAGTTCCAGCTCCTGCCAACCTAGCAGTTCGAAAGCAAGAAATTGCAAGTAGATAAATAGGTACCACTTTGGTGGGAAGGTTCCGTGCACCTTGGTGTTTAGTCATGCCGGCCACATGACCACGGAAACGTCTTCGGACAGCGCTGGCTCTTCGGCTTTGAAACAGAGATGAGCACCACAACCCTAGAGTCGGACTCGACTGGTTTTCAAGCAAGGGAACCTTTACCTTTTTAACTAGGTACTTATATCTGGTCTTTCTTAGTTGCAGGTCCCTGGTGCATCTGCAGCCCTCTTTAGCATCATTCCCACCCCCCCACCCCCGGTCATCTTTCATGGCAGAGCACACACGAGAGACAGATAACCCTGATGAACACCAAAAACCCAATTCCAACCTCCACGTTCAAATGCACTCCCAGACAAAGGAACAGTTCCCCTTTTCAGACCCCACCCCACATGGGCATCAGTGACTTTCTCCCATCTGGGTGCCAGGTCTTGGGGGCTCATGCTCACTCGAACCGGACCTTCCAATCAAGAGTTGTTAACACACCAAAGGGCTAGCATGTTTCCCCCACCAAGTTGTGAAAGGATGCTAGTGATATGCAAGAAGGGCCTTCCTGCCTTCTTCCTAGCTACAGAGACACCAGAGCCCCTCTCCGTCTCCATAACTGTTACAGTACCCCACCCCCCTTCTTATTCACCACACTCTGGTATACAGAGGGGGCATGATCCAGACTGTGGGATCAGGTGTGGTATTTCACAAGCAGGGGTCGTTTCGTAGAAAAAGAGCTAGGGGAACTCATTAGCATAACTCATTAGCATATGCCACACCCCCTGACATCATAAGGCCCGGCAGTGGACCTGCAAGGCCGGCGGGAGTGCGAGAAAGCCCCGCCAAGGCCCTCCCTGGCCCCAGGCAGGCAGGGGTGGGGAGAGGCGGGGAGGAAGCAACATACCCTCCCACTTCTCCTGCCTCCTCCTGGCTGAATGAGGGACGGAAGCGGGGTGGCCGGAAGTAGGGGGCGGGGCTTTGTCATGTGCCCCGCCCCCTCGTACCTCACCCGGGGGGACTGCGATCCCCCCTGAATCGACCTCTGTGTATATGCAGTGTTTTTTCATCCCCTGTCATAAGTGACAGAGGCTGTGATCAGACGGGCAGTTTGGCCCGACACAGGCACTCCTCCCCTCCAGATCAAATGGGCGCAGTCAGACAGCCACATCTGTCAGGCATTCCCCAGCCATACTTATCCTGTCACAGGACGACTTGGAGCTGAGTTAAAAAGCCACCACATCACAAGGGGTGTTTTCGGATCCCCGCACGGTCATCACGCATGGCCGGATGTCTGAACGCGGGGCAGCGCGCGCAGAATGGATTTGGCAGTCTGAACCTGCAGATCCATTCTGCTGCTAGGGAGGTGTTTTTTTTTTTTTTAAAAATGCCTATATGTGCATGTGCCTGCATGCGCATGTGCGCACATGTGCTCCTATGCATGCACATGAATTTTGGAATTTTTTGGCAGCGTGCTCCGTGGCTGAGGCGCTGCAATAATGTGGATGTTTCACCATGGGATGTCTCCATGGGTAACCCGCAGCAGGGTGTGCTGTGTGGTTGATATGCCCCACAGCACTTTAAACCGGTTCAATTAGAGGCGGTACCATATCGCGCCAAGCCATCAGTGTTGACACGGCCAGAGAGTGGCAGAACACCAGAGTGAGCTATAATACTCTTGCAGAAGCAGGGTGGCCTGGGAGAGGGGCGTGGGGAGGGAAGGCTGCAGGCTGAGATCCAGGGACCAGCATGAAAGGACGGGTGGAAGAAGCAAGAGTCTGTGGGGAATGAGGGCTGGAGGGGGGAGAGGAGCATGCGGAAGACAGTGAGGAGCGAGGGCATCTACACTCTTCCACTCCAGGCAGATTGCTTCTCCACTCTCCATCCTATTGACTATATCATGCCAGTGAACGTTTGTATGTATTTAATTTTTAAATTTAAAACGTGCCTCTCTTGCCTCATCCGGTCAGATTCAAGGTGGTGAATGGTTTCGTTGTTATTGCTTTGCCCTCTTCTTCCCAGGACTTCAAGGTAGCATACACGGTCCCTACCCTCCTGTGAGGTAGGCTAGACCCCAAGAACATGACCAGCCCAAGGTCACTCACCAAGCTTCATGTTAGAGCGGTGACTTGGACTTTGGTCTGTCCTCCGATGAGGATGGTGAATTTAACTCAATAACGTCTGTATGATTCGTTTATAGAACTGAAGACGAACTCGTAAAGCTTTGTGTCCAGTTTTCTTTTTACAAAATAAAATTTGTATATATTTTTTAAATTAACCTTGGTCTCCCATATTCTAGTTTAATGCTCTAACCGCTATGCAACGCGGTCCTCTCACTTGCCATCTTTGAAATTTGAATCTCATGACATCAGCCTGCCTTGTGCTTAGTTTCCTGTTTGCTGCGGTTTCCCTAATAATTCATCCCTCATAGCAACTCACCTGTAGCCTTGACTCTTCCCTGGTCTCCGGAAAGCAAAATCTCTCTTGTCTTTGGGTTTTGTACAAACTGCAAAAGAGAAGAAGAAGCCACATTCGGAGAAAACATTTATTTGCCAACCTGTTTTGCAATCTGGATTTCCTGGGGAGGCTCCATTGCAAAAGGAGGGGAAAGTGATATAAATCAACAACTGTACTGAATTTGCTGGCTCTGAAGACCTGGGTCAACTTTACAAAAGTCTTTCCCTTGGCAACATTGGCACCGGTAACATTGCTACAGCTTTTCAGACAAATGTGCCTGAGCAAACATTGCTGCTTTAGATCACACTGATGCTAGGCAGCTCTCGTTCCGGATCTATGGCCCCGGCCACATGGGCCGGATATCGCGGGGGGGGGAAGCGTGGCTAATTGCCCCGGCGCAGTTTGATCCGTGATTACGCGATCAGATGCGCCGGCGGCACACCATGGGTCCTTCCCTCGGCGCCAGTGGGTAAACAGACCAGAGGGGAATGCCACGCGCCGGCGCGATCACACCACGGGTGTATGGAGGCAGCCTGTGGCAAACGTTTACTAGTGTTGGATCCCCAAGCATCGAGAATAAATCCACGTTTTCAAGAAAAGCAACATTTATTTCAAAGCATTGGAAAGACACTCAAACACGTTCTTTGTTAGAACTGTCTACAAACTGTAAGGGCAAGCATAATAAAGGGATTTGAAACAGATACAGAACCAATGGGTCACTTTCCCGCTGGCGGGCGAGAGGAAACGGTTGCGCGCCCTTTCCCTGAGAACCAAGTTATCTCCAGACATATACAGGTGCAGTTCTCAGGCTCTAAAAGCAACAAGCCGGCAATGAAGCGAACTCCCACAAGACGACCTCCAGTTGTTTGGCTTATGCATTACAGCAGAGTACAATAACAGCTCACAGGCAGGGAAGGAGGGGGATGGGAAAACAATTGTACCGAAGTACCAGCAACACAGAACACCATGGAAGCTTGCTGACAACTAGTACCTTGGAGGTACTAGTTTTTTAATGCGCATTGCTGGCGGTAAGCCACGGGTGTGCTCCACTTCCCAGATGTTGGGGTGTGATCGCGCCCGGATAATCTGCCCACCATCCGTGCCTCTCCCGCGGCAACTTTGCCGTGTGACCGGGGCCTATGTCACCCTGAACAGCAGAGGCCTAGAAAGCAACTGAAGTGGACTTCTCTCTCTCAGTGTGCATGCACAAAAAAGCTTATACCTTGAAAAAAACCTTTGTTGGTCTTAAAGGTGCCACTGGACTCCACCTTTGTTTTTCCCCTCTCGCTTCCTATTTGCTATTGTCATTTATAGTGGAGCTGTAAAACTTTCAGCCAGCATCTGGATCCATGTTTTCATGTTTCTCTCCACCCTGCAAAAAGTATTGCCTGCTGATCTGTGACCATCGAATTGCCCTGAAAGTCTGTTTTTATCCCATAGTCAGAGGTAACCATACATTAATTTTAAAAAAGTTAGTTAAAACATTTCCCCTTCACTTTCCATTCAAAATCGGGCATTCAATAGATATAGAGAGTTGGTCCAAAACCTAGAAAGCTTTATACATGAGAGCTACTCCTTATAAAGAATATATATATAAATTAATATACAGATGGCACTTGACTTCTACTAGAGTAGCAAAATGCTTCCCTAGATCATCCAATATTTGTTGGAGATGTAAAAGAAATGTAAGATCTTATCTTCACATATGGTGGAAATGTGATAAAATTCAAGTTTTTTGGGAAAAAAGTCATAAGATTTTTCTAGATATTTTAAAAATCAATATTCCATTAACACCTGAAGCCTATTTACTTAACATATTACCAGACAATATAAAGGATCTTACTTATATAAGTGTATACATATTAACAGCGGCTAGAATACTTATTGCGAAACGATGGAAATCCAAGGTCATCCCTACAATAAAGGAACTTAAATATAAGATATTGGAAGTTGCAGAAATGGATAAGTTAAATATAAGGCTACAAAACAAACTAGAGGAGATATTTTGGAAGAGATGGAAAATAATTGGATGAAAATAAAGAAGATGGATTAGACTCAAAAATATGGAAAGTTATACTATATTATATTATGTATAAGAAGGAGAAATGAATTTTATATAAAGTAATGTATAACAATGTTGGCAAATATACACACACACACACATTTCCCCTTCACTTTCCATTCAAAAAGAGGGGAGAGGGTCACAGAAACCAAACAGCCTGGAAAGTATAAAATAGAAAAACAATCAGAAGAGAGCAAATTAGAAAAACTGAATATTTACTTTACAGATTGAGCGGAAGCTGAGTTCTTTGGCTGACAGCACGGAGAAGTACACCTGCAGTCTGGAATGCTTTGCGACTGGACCTTCATCTCCTCCAGTTTATATTCTAGGGTGCCAGAACCCCCCCCCCCCGAAACTCATTTCCTGACTGGTGAGGATTGTTTCCTCATTTTAGACAGAAAACAACTGACGCAGCAGCCCAGTGCTGACTTGGGCAATCCTTGCCTCACTCTTACATAGGCCCAATCTGCATTTGGCATTTGCTCAGTTGTTGTACCAAACCCACACTGGAACAGGAAAAGATGCTGTTCAAAACCACATTCAGCTACCCCAGGCCAACACCGTACTGACTGCAGAGTCACCCCCAAATGGCCATAAAACAGCCATACATATTTGCAGACAGCCACCATAAAACCAGAGATCAAACAAAGTGAAAGCGGCATGCAGTCTGGACACTGCCATAAAATGCGACACTCAATCAAAGTGAAAGTGGCATGCAATGTAGATGGGAATTTCTGTTCCAGTGTGGGTTTGGTATAACAGCAGAGCAAATGCTAGATGCAGACTGGGCCTAAGTGTAGCTGACCTCCCCCCCCTCCCCCCGTGGGTGCGCCTACCTCACCCACCAGCACAAGGCAATCTTTAGACATTTATCAAGCCTTCTTCGAACAGAATTTTTTAAAAAATAACTTCCTTGGAAATCAGCTGGCCTACCGCTGTTGACATTACCTGAAAACGAACAATGGCCTGAGTGTGTTTGGGTCTGTTCTATATGATATGAAGAAAGAAGAAGAAAACAAAATGATTTTTTATCTGTCTCCAAGAAGCTGAGGTAGCAGTCATAGTTCTCACTTCCTTCATTTTATTCTCATAGCAATCTTGTGAGCTAGGCGAGGCTGAGAGAGAAAGAGAGCAAGAGAGCAGCTGACTGAAGGTCATGAAGGAAACATGATTCGTGACTGAAGTGGGGTTTGTCCCTGCATCTTCCAGCTCCTGGCCCGACACTCTAACCACCAGCAGGAGCTCCATGGCCTGGGACTGCAAGGGGTGGCTGGAGTGGCCCCAGTGCAACGGGATGAAAAAGCCCCACCAGTGGTTCCCCCCTCCCTGTCAGGTGTCTGCATCCCTCAGAGATGTACTGGAAGCTACCTTCAGTGGAGCCCTGGGGAAGCTGGCCTTTTTTGTGCTGCAGGTGCACAAGTTCCTGAGGGAATGGGGGCACACCTTTGCCTTGGATGAACACTGAGTGGACTACCTGGGGTCACTGCTGCGAGACTGTGCAGCTGACTGGTTTGTAGGGCATTACAGTGTCAAAGGCCCTGAACTCTGATAGGTCTCAAAACTCAAAGCAAGAGAGGTTTGTTGGAAAGTGGTACCTGGTTTTAGACTACCCATCCCAGCAACAATTTATTTCCTCTGAATGGTCCCAATTTGAAAAATGGATTTGATGTATCGTTTTTGATTGGTCTGATGATATTCTAGCTTGAAAACTCTTTATTTCTTTAAATGATCAGTATTAAGTATTAATTAACAAATTATTTCCTGAAGTTAAAAACTGTTTTTGATATGTTTAGTTGGCATTTACATATAGCAGTGTGTCTCACTGCTTCATTGTGAAACAGGTCCAAATCACAATGCTATCGGTTTACTCATGTTAATGAGTAATTATACGACATTTATATGTGTTATGTATCAGAAGAAGCATAATTCAAAGTAATATGTCATGGTTTAATATGTTAATGTTGTCGTTAAAAACAATAAAAAATTAAATTAAAAAAAACCCCTCTGATACGTCGATGTGGTCATGAGGGCCCTCTGCTACCAGTATGAAGACTCACTCAACCTGGAGCAGGCGAGAACTCGTTTTAGGGGGTTGAAACAAGGGACCTGCTCAGTCAGAGTGTTCTCTGATGAGTTCAAGACCTACGCTGCCAAACTGCAGGGTTGGCCGGAGGAGGTACTGATCAACTTCTACAGGGCTGGCCTGAACCACACCATCCTATTGAGTTATATGTCTAAGTATGTGAGGTAGCAAGCTGTTACAGCATGTGTGTAGATCAGGGAGATCTAAGAGTACCTAAGTCTTAGCTGTCAGACTAAATGACTAAGTGGCTAAGTGGTTAACGGCCAGGTGTTAAACAAGCAGGTGCTACTCCTTGTGGTCATTAGGGGTGGGTAATTAGTGTGTCCTGCAGTTCATTGGCTGGTTGATGTATAAAGTGTCTGGGCTTGATAAGCCTCAGTGGGAGACATAGCTCTTTCCAACTGAGGTATGTTATGCTGCATGATGGTCTGTTATTCTCTGTAAATAGGTACCATTATTGCGCTATAAACTTTCTGCCTTTCACCACCAGTTGGTCTCCAGGCTTCTTATTTACTGCACCCAATACATCCTGGGTAAAGCACTTCATCCTGGGTAAAGCCCTTCATCACTGACCTGCCCCCCAGTAGAGGGAGAAGAGTGGTCTGGGTAGTGGTGGACCTCTTTTCAAAACAAGCCCATTTCATACCCTGTAAACAACTGCCCACTGCCCAAAAAACTGGCTCAACTGTTCATGTAACTTCAGGCTCCACTCGGTCTCTAATAAGATAATCTTGGACAGGGGGTCCCAATTTATGGCAGCCTTTTGAAGAGGGCTTCTGAAATGTTGGGCATTGAACAAGGCCTCAGTAGTGCTTATCACACCAAGACAGATGGCCAATCAGAATGTATCAATCAGGTGTTGGAAAAATACCTAAGGTGGTGTATTGACTATCAATAGGACAACTGACTGGAATTGTTACCATATGCAGAATACAGCTATAATAACTCTGTCCACACCTCCACTGGAGCCACCCCATTCAAAGTGGTGCAGGGATACGAGAGGGGCCCCCTCCCTACTAGGGTTGCCAAGTTCTTTTTCTTCTGCGGTGGGGGTTTTCCCCTCAGATGGCTGTGCCCCACCCCCAGCGTGCCCGGCGTCATCACGTCACCTCCGGCTGACGTGCACACCGGGGTGGGGTTTCCCCCGGGGCCTGATTCCGTGGCAGTGGAAATCGGGCCTCCAAAGTGGGGGAAAATCTGCCCCCCAGGGGGACTTGGCAGCCCTACTCCCTACAATTGCATCTGAACCAACCAGACCTAAAGACTTGCAGGTGTGGTGGTCCGACCTAATCCAGCAATGGACTTTAATCCAAAAGACCCTAGTGAAAGCCAAGAAAAATTAGAAAACCTGGGCAGACAAGAGCAGGTCCCCTGAGTATGATCTCACCATTCCTGTGACCTTGTAGCTTCTAGATAATGTAGCTGTCTATTTGCAAGTGTTGGTGTGGTCGTTGGAGCAGGGGCAAGCATTTGGTGGGCTGAATGAGAGACATGATTGGTCAAGGATTATAAGAGGGTTTTCAAAAATTTACAATATTGTGTGTGGGGGGGTGACCCCTGAAACCCAGCTCCAACACAAAGCTGTCTATGCTTGGATCCTTTCATATCTTTGAATAAACAAATCTTCTTACACAAGAGTGTCCATGAGATTGACTGCTAGTCCAGGACCTGACACCGTGTTGGTCTGAAGCAGCAGAACAAAATTTAAGTCCAGTGGCACCTTTAAGACCAACAAAGTTTTATTCGATGCAATCCTAAGCAGAGTTTCACCCTTCTAAATCCACTGAAGTCAATGGGTTTAGAAAGATACAAGGGGCGGGACCTGCGATACTCGCGGGAGGGGGGAGGGAGCGCCACACCTATGAGGAAGAGGAGGAAGCAGCAGGAGGAGGTAAGTTCCCCCCATCCCGCCGGTTCCCCCTGTGTCCTCCACTCCCCCTCCACCCCCGGCTTGATCTCCCCCCGCTCCGAAGCGAGGCCCGGCGGCTTGCAGCTGCCCAGACCTCGCTGGTCCCCCCCGAAGCGAGGCTCGAGCGGCATTCAGCCGCCCCGGCCTCACTAGCCCCCCCGCCCGGCTCCGAAGCGGCGGCGAGGCCGGCTGCAGAGCGTTCCCTGCGCATGTGCAGGGGACACTCTGTCACTTTGGGGGGAATTTAAATATCCCCCGATATTTTTTTACAGGTTTCAGATTTTTGTGCACACCTGGGGACTGCCCCAAGTGTGCACGAAAATCTCCCTCCCCCCCCAGGTGCCCCCGATGTGCGAAAATAAGTATCCGCACGCAGGGGGCAACTTCGGTATTAGATATATAGATAACTCTGTTTAGGATTGTACAGTAAACATAGTGAATTAAAAACACACACCACAGAAGCACTTCAGATTATTTACACTGCCGAAACACCCTTGTGGGACTTAATTCTGAGGAAAAATGTTTACTATGATTAAGCAAAAGTGCTTTCGGCTCTGAGATAACAGGTCTTCCCACTTCCTCAGCTGCAAGCTGCGTCCTCTTTGCTGGCACTGGAAAGAGGAAGGTCACTGCTGGGTCGGAGCCCTGCCCTTCACTAACAGGTGAATTCTCCATTACAGCAGCATTTGAATTCAGCTGTTTTCTCCTCAGAATAGCCACGCAAAGGTAGACTAGAGTAGAGGGCCAGGCCTCCCACCCTCCTAATGGCTGCTTCTGGTCCCTCACCACTGCCCAGTGCAGAAGTGAGAGAAAATTGGGTGGAAAAGTGATATCAGAAAACCACAGAGTTTTTTTTGGGGGGGAGAGATTACTAGACCATCCTGGCAATGTGTGATGTCACTTCTGGTTATATAACTGGAAGTGATGTAGCATTATGTGATGCTGAACAATGCCAAGCCCTGCCCCCCAGAAGCTCCCAGGGCTAGCCAGCCATCAGCCGGCAAACCCTACACCAGGGTGTGTCACATCAATTCTCCATGCCAATATTCTTTAGGCACTATAAGCCCCCCCCCCCCAAGGCAAAAACTCCCTCTATTTTCCCTCTCACACTATCAACCCAAGTAATGTACTCAGGGATTTTTTGGTGCTAGTACTCACTGCGGTAGCTCAGAGGTTAACACACTGAACTGCAGACCGGTAGTTTGGCAGTTCAAGACCTGGGTGCCGTGTGATGGAGTGAGCTCCCGTCTGTGGCCCCAGCTCCTGCCAACCCAGCAGTTCAAAAGCAAGAAACTGCAAG